ACCAAGTCAAGGGTTAAGATCCCCTTACCGGTCTTTTTTTTTTTTTTAAAGATGACCGGTAAGGGGATCTTAACCCTTGACTTGGTGTTATCAGCACCGCACTCTACCGAGTGAGCCACGGGCCGGCCCTTACCGGTCATTTAAAAAAAAAAAAAAAAATCTGGACTTGTCAGCCTGAAAATTAGGAGTTCTTATTCTGCAAGAAACTGTGTGAGAAAAGTTACTATTTAAAAAGGAGCTCCTGTGTTGAAATTAAATGTTTGTTTATGATCATTAACTTGAAGTCATAGCATCCCTGGCTGAACATTCATTGTGCTTCTACCATGTCAGGCAACTTTTATAAATTGTCACATTTAACACCACAAAACAAAGATTCATCCATCACTTAGATGAAAAAACGATGTTTAGAGAGGTTGAGTAATTTACTCAGGGTTTTTTACCTAGTTAGTGACAGGACCTGGAATTAAATTCATATGTTTTTTCTGTCATGCTACCTGTGGCTGACATTTGCTAATTTTGCCTGCCCTGCAGTGTAAGGATTTTCTTTTGAAAACCACCCCTCTCTCACTGCCCACCCTGCCCCCTGCCCTGGCATGTGACTCAGGCCTAGTCAATCAGAACACCATATCCTCTTTTGCTGAATTGAGCTCATGATGTAAGGAAAGACTGAGCCTCAGTGCCTTGACTTCTTCTGGAACTTTTGGCTAAAATGCACTCTATGTGTGCTGACCATGATAAGCCAGTAGGATGTAAGAGAGCTTCCCTGAACATGAAGCCAACACAGAAAAAGAAGACTCAAAAGATGGAGAGTGATTTCTAGCATAATTTGAGTTATCTGGATCAAGCTCCTGTACCGTTCAGCGCCATTCAGTTACATGAGTCAAAAAAGCTCCCAGATCTGCTTAGGTGAGTGTGAGTTGAGTTTTCACTTGTAACAGTGAGTCCTAATTAACACATCACCTTCAAGACTATCCATTCTCACCATTTCATTTTGCAGAGAACTGAAGCCTAGGCAAGTTAAGTGACTTATCCAAGCATATCCAGCTAGTTTGTAGCACAGCCAGAATTAAAATCCAGGTCTTTGATCGAAGGCTCCTTTTTATACTCTATGGCCTCTTTCTTTGTAGAAAAGCTGAGGATGGAGACACTTCAAGGTAGAAAGGGTAGGAGCCAGGTGACAACTAAAGATCAATCAAGTCAGATAAATTGCCTCTGAAGTTGTATTTATAAGTCAGGATGTTTCAGTTTGAAAGCCAGACTTCAATTCACCCAGTATTGATTTCTGCACTTTTCAGGAATGCAGCAACTGTGCAGGGCAGAAGTTCATTTCAGCTTTCCTCTGCAGACACGGATACCACTTAACTAGGTACTATGGAACATGTTCTTTCCCTGCCTCTAATCTGGTGGGGCCAACACTCCATTTGCCATACCATCTGCAGGACCTGCATACAGAAATGATTCTCAGACTGAGTATGCTCCTTCTACAGAGATAAGGAGGCAAGTCATAGAGGCTTCGGGAGTAGAAGAATGGGAGGTCATTCATGTTGTGCAATATGGGAGACACTACAAAGGGCTCCCTGCCTACCGTCACCTGCCCCCCCAAAAACAGACACTGGGGTAGTGTCTGGCATTCTAGATATAATAAATAATTTTACTGGGTTGAGCTTTGCCCCCTCACTCTGGCTTGCCTGCCTGTGGCCTTAAGAGGACTCCTTCACGTCCTTGACCTTCATTGGTTGGCATTGCTAATCCTGGAGGCCGAGACCAGCATGGCAGCTCTCTGTGCTCCAAATCTCACGTCAGGGCACTGCTAAAGGAGGACAGAGAAGCCTGCAGAATTGGGGTACTGCAAATTTCTGCTGTTGCTTTGATTCAGACCTGTGCTGCTACCTAGCTATTCAACTGCTACCCTTAGCAGCTTGTCCAAACATCATTTTCTTCAAGCTCCTGCCCTTCCTCCCCCAACCCTGATTCTTTGTAGAATCCAAACACTTCCTCCCTGAAAACAAGCAAGAGTGGGCGCTGGAGAGATGGAAGAGATGGGGGGAGGGACACAGGGGCACAGTCTAGGGCAGCTACGGTAGCATTTCTTTGACATATGTTGAATCTTAAAAATTCCTATGAACTTTGCATTCTGCTTCAAAATCTACTTTTTTTAATATAAAATACCATTTGAAATCACTTAAAAGTTACAATACTTGATTTTTAAGTGTTTTTAACAAAATGTCAAGTGAAACTGTCAGTTTTACAATCTAAGAAAGATGTGCCATTTTATTCTGTGGCTCCATTTTATCACTGGCACACTTCACTTTTCTTTATTCCCCTTTCAGCAAATATTTGTAAAGGGCCTCCTGTGTGCCAAGCACATAGCACAAGGTATAATAGAGAGCAAATGTGCCAGAACTCTGGCCCCAGGGACCCTGCAATCAGGATTTTGTTAAAGTGGGAAATTGAGAAGTAGGAGTCATTTAGAGGGGGAAAATCAGAGGTGACGGAGGTAGAAACAGGTCATCCAAGGACCAATAGCCTGAGAACAAAGAGCCAATGTATAGAGGATGGGATTCTGACTTGATGTTGCCTTCTGACATCCAAGGAATTGTCCAGAACCTGACTCAGGATCTTCCCTCCCCAAACTGCACCCTTTCTAGTATTCTCCCAGTCTGTATATAGTACCACCATCAATTCATTTTGTGAGTCAGGACTTAGGAATCATTCTAGAGCTATGCCACCCTACTTCCAACTCCATACACACACATCCAGTTAATCAGCAGGTTCAGAATGGCTTTCACATTCACCCATTCCTTTCCCTCTTTACTGTCCCATCCTGGTGTAAATCACCTTCATCTCTAACCTGGTTGACATAATGATGACCTCATAGCTATTCTCCACAGACCAGCCAGTCTGTGATTGTTAAAATGAAAATCTGATCATGTCATTTCCCTGCTTGATACTATCTAGTGGCTCCTCTCTCTCTCTCTCTCTCTCTCTCTCTCTCTCTCTCTCTCTCTCTGGCAGCTGGCTGGTATGGGGATCCGAACCCTTGGCCTTGGTGTAACCAACAGGTCTAACTGGCCCGCCCCCTCCTCCTTCTTATGATAAAGGCAGAACTCAATATAGCGGGACCTCCGTATGCACACATCCCATGAATTCAACCAACAGTGGATCCAAAATACAGTATTTGGGCTGGCTGGTTAGCTCAGCTGGTTAGAGTGCTGCCTTGTAACACCAAGGTCAAGGGTTCGGATCCCTGTACTGGCCAGCCACCAAAAAAAAAAAAAAAATACAGTATTTGCAGAATGTGGAACCTGTGAATACAGAGGACTGACTATATGACCTGTAGGGTTGTGAATGGTCCCCCCTAGTCTACTCTCCAGACTCATGGTGCTTTCTTCTTCACTGTTTGTGTGAACTTATTCAGTTTATTAAACATGCCATGCTTGTTCCTTTCTTGGGGTCTTGTAAAGGCAGTGCTGAATGCCTGTTTGGCTTTCCTCTCCTCCTACTCTGCTCCCTTTTCTTATTCTCATTCTTTTTTTTTTTTTTTTTTTTTAGAAAAAGCATTTTTCTTTCTTTCTTCTTCTTCCTCTTCTTCTTTTTTTTTTTTTTGGTAACTGGCTGGTATAGAGATCCAAACCCATGACCTTGGTGTTATCAGCACTGCACTCTCACTAACTGAGCTAACCAGCCAGCCCCATTCTCATTCTTTAGTGCTCATTTCCAACATCTCTTTCTCCAAAGAAACTTCCCTGACCCTCTCCCCACAATTAGGCCAAATCTCTCTGTACTTCTCATTGGAAGCACTTATTACAACTTTAACTGAAAACCAATTATGGGCATTTGAGGAAAGCCCCTAACATGAAATAAATAGAAAAAAATAAAAACAGAAAAACACAGACAAAGCAAAGACTATGCATGGGGAATAAAACTTCAGAAAAGCTCTTATTATTTTCCTCAGAGAGACAAGGGAATATATTGCAAACATGAAACAAGGACATGATACCACCAAAAGAAGCATTCGGAAGAAATTCTGAGTACTTGGAAATTAAAAGTGTGATACTAGAAATATT